AAGATTAAAAACAATCGAAGAATACGTCTCAAAACAAGATTGGTTGGGTGGGATATGAAGTCACTTACTTCATTTGAATGTGTTTTAGTTGCATCATTTATGACCCAAATGACTAAGGCAATATAAAGGACTGGTACTAGCTCTGCCCAGTCTCTGCTCGTCCATTGTGCCAATTTCTCGTTCTTTCACATAACATTTCTGTTCCGATTTCTTTTTAAAATGACTTCAATGTTGACCAGTCGAAGATAACAGCCGTATATTATGTGAAAACTTTTTGGTAGAAATTTCATGAAGTTTATGTCAGGGTTTTGCATAGACTTGACTATCAGCCGCTGTTCGAATCAAAGTGGTCTATGAGTTCAAAGTGCTCTATGAATTCCGATCCAAGTGAATGCTGATTAACATTTAGCTATGTACTCCTATTTTCCAAAAAAATAATTAAAAAGGTTTCGTGGTTTATTTTTTATCCGATTCCTGTCTTAATCTCCTCCCCCAGGCGTAAGCATATTAGTTTCCCGATTTTTTTAAAATTATTATTTCCGGCAGAGATCTCTTCTTGTGGCAGACGAAGTTTACAAAGTAACCAACCATTTCTCGGCAAGATCTTTACCCTAAATTTATGGACCGAGTCGCAGTACTATATTTCTCCTATACAGACCTCAAGCTAGTTCACTAAGGCCTAGGGCAAACGTCGAATCCAAGTCGCGTCGAATAAATTAAAAATAGGTGCGACAAAGAGTCGACTTAATTCCAGCGTGTAACAAACGTCGAACCTGCGTCGATCCTATTTCACAAGTTGCATTTCATTAAAACACTGGAATAAGCGCGTGTTCCCATGCTATTTATTCCATGCGCGGCTAGTTACTGCAGGGACTTGCAAGCGAAATGCTGAAATACAGTGCTCGTGGGGCTTTACTTTGGCAGTTAATTGGGAAAAATAGAAAGAGAAGACTCGCATTACATACAGCTCTGAGAACAGTGTATCAGAGACGACAGCTATTGCTCCAAGTGGCTCTTTTGACCGTGCTTTTGTTAGCGAACAACAATGGAGCAGCGGTCTTGAGCGCGGGCGGTCTTGAGCAGCGGTCATAGCTCGCCATTTCCGGCCGCGAAGTCGGTCGCGAAATCGTCTTTGTACAGCGCATGCTCGTCAGGGGGAAATAGCATTTGGCAGATGGGGGAGTATGTATTTTTTAAACGTTTGCCCATTCCATCACATTTTGAATCAACTATTTTGCAATTTGCATGATTCGTGAATTGTGTTCACCGTGTGTTAAGAACGGCGTTTGCTAAAACGCCGCACCACTGTCGCATTGTCCGACTTGGTAAGTCGAACTTCTGCTAGAGTCGAACCAATTAATTTGAGTCGAACTTATTTGCGGCAAACGTCGCACCATTCATGCGCCTATTTCAAAATTAATAGGTTCGACGAATTAAGTTCGACTAAAATTCGACGTTTGCCCTAGGCCTAACATATGAGCAGTATCGCCTGCGACTCGGTCCAATATTTCCCCAATGCGGACCTCACGCTAGTTCAATAACGCAAGTGTAGTACTGATTTTAATTCCATGTTTTTTCGAAATTCATGTAATGTCTTATTCTCAACGCTTAAGCTTTCTTTAGAGTCGCTAACCGGTCGTTTAGCAGCCAAGTCGATTAGCCCCCAAACAGGAGTCGATTAGCCCCCAACCTAAAGTCGATTAATTTAATGCACTGCTGAAATTAGGAGGGGACCGCTGGCCTTCTCACTCCCTTAAAACGCTTCTTTCGAAGAAAAGTTAGAAAATCACTCGTATATATGGGACCCCTCGGAGCCCATTTCGAGTTACCTCTGGTAAAAATTGTAACTTTGAATTAAAATGAGGCGGCCTTTCTTCATTACACATACTGAAAATGACGAACACACACTGAAACTCCAGTGTGAATTGTGAAGTGTCGAACAATGCGTTTATTAACGTTTCTAGTTCATTTAAAGTATTGATAGTTTTATTGGGTCAAATATATTAACAATATTCGACGCTCAAAATTGCTGTTGCTACTTTTGTTCTATCCATAGCGAGCAAGGGTTCAACAGTGTAAATCTGGCAAGGTTTGCAACCGTTTTGTCATGGTCTCAAGCTGAATTCTTGCTTAGGTAGAATCAGAAACAGCTGAGCACAATAAATTTCAAATGACTAAATCCACAAGCGAGTGTATTCCTATTTCTTCATTTGTTTCCTCCGCGATTTTCCAGGTCTAACGTTTTTCCTCTTTTTACCCTAAACAAAAGAAATAAAAACGGTTAGACTGTAGGTAAAGCATAGAGCGTTCTTATAATTACTACGAAAACGTTCTAGCTTAATCTGGCGTGTAATGGAGTCTGCAAGTGGTTCAAAAACTCCCTCAAATTTACTCAAGGGGCGCTTTTCACTCAACGAAAAATTTCAAAAATTTCGAAACGGGAGGGAAGCATATAGGAAATATCCTGGGAACATTTCCAGAAAATACGAAAACTGTTGAATTTTGAAATGCAATCCACTCACTAGGAAAGACTAGAAATTCCGGGAGAAAATCGTGATATGTCTTATGGGTGAATGCCATGAGTGTACCAAGTCGTATATCACCTAATGTTGGACCAAATTTACTTTGATATGAACTCGTGTGGCTTATGATGTTCACCCCAAAATCAAAAGCAANAATGCGGACCTCACGCTAGTTCAATAACGCAAGTGTAGTACTGATTTTAATTCCATGTTTTTTCGAAATTCATGTAATGTCTTATTCTCAACGCTTAAGCTTTCTTTAGAGTCGCTAACCAGTCGTTTAGCAGCCAAGTCGATTAGCCCCCAAATAGGAGTCGATTAGCCCCCAACCTAAAGTCGATTAATTTAATGTACTGCTGAAATTAGGAGGGGACCGCTTGCCTTCTCACTCCCTTAAAACGCTTCTTTCGAATAAAAGTTAGAAAATCACTTGTACATATAGGACCCCTCAGAGCCCATTTCGAGTTACCTCTGCGATAAATTGTAACTTTCGGCCTTTCTCCATTACACATACTGAAAATGACGAACACACACTGAAACTCCAGCATGAATTGTGAAGGGTCGAACAATGCGTTTATTAACGTTACTAGTTCATTTAAAGTATTGATAGTTTTATTGGGTCAAAATATATTAACAATACTCGACGCTCAAAATTGCTGTTGCTACTTCAACAGTGTAAATTTGGCAAGGTTTGCAACCGTTTTGTCATGGTCTCAAACTGAATTCTTGCTTAGGTAGAATCAGAAACAGCTGAGCCCAATAAATTTCAAATGACTCAATCCACAAGCGAGTGTATTCCTATTTCCTCATTTGTTTCCTCCGTGATTTTCCAGGTCTAACGTTTTTCCTCTTTTTACCCTAAACAGAAGAAATAAAAGCAGTTAGACTGTAGGTAAAGCATAGAGCGTTCTTATAATTACGAAAACGTTCTAGCTTAATCTGGCGTGTAATGGACTCTGCAAGTGGTTCAAAAACTCCCTCAAATTTACTCAAGGGGCGCTTTTCACTCAACGAAAAATTTCGAAAATTTCGAAACGGGAGGGAAACGTATAGGAAATATCCTGAGAAAATTTCCAGAAAATACGAAAACTGTTGCATTTTGAAATGCAATCCACTCCCTAGGAAAGACTAGAAATTCCGGGAGAAAATCGTGATATGTTTAATGGGTGAATGTCATGAGTGTACCAAGTCATACATTATCTAATGTTGAACCAAATTTACTTTTCTTGATATGAACTCGTGTGGCTTATGATGTTCACCCCAAAATCAAAAGCAATGGAAATTTCCAGGAAGGAACTTTTATAACTTTGGGTATACCTCACAAAGTTGTTCCTTTTTTCGGAAATTTAGGAAAATTTTTCATTCCCGTGTATTAAAACAGAGCATGCCGTTTCATTCGTCAATGGAAATTTCCGAAAATTCAGACCCGAATGTTTGGTTGAATGGAAAGTGACTGCTAGCAAATCTGAGAGAATTAATGTGGTCTTCTCCGCCAATCAAAAACAAAACGAAAATCGATCAACATGTTTTAACTTATACCGCATTTCTCGGTCGTTTGCCACTGGCTACTCGTTTTTACCTCGAGCTCTGATTGGGTAACTATGATAATTCCTGCTTTAATTTGAAATTACCGACCCGATTACTCGATTACCCGATATATACTATACTCGTTCCAATTACTGTGTAAGTTGTCAAGTATAAATTGTCAGAGGTATGGTCTCGGGTTCCGCATTCTCCGCGATACCTATCGAAAGCCCCGCCCCACCTTGTCTCATAAGGCATCGAGATAAACAAAAGCAAGCCAATGCAAAACAGGATAGTGTTACTTACAACATTCCCTGACTTTGCTCTTGGTGCTTTGCTGTGCTTTGCTGAACTGAAAGAGCTCACGTCTGAGAAGCTTTGCGAAGAATTCCGCTTTATTCCTTTCTTGACTCCTCCAAAACCAAACTTTGCATCCTGTGCAAGAGATAAGGATGCTGATACGTTCATGAACGTTAAGCCCTTACCCTAAGTTTCAGAGATGTTGTATTATTACTGTTCCTTTGTAAAAAATTTCGATGTGATCTCAATAATCGGGCAGGAATTTTTCATATATGAACACTATAAACCCAGTTACCGGAAGGACAAAAAAAACTTTGTGCTCTAACTGATCACAAAAAAAGGATTATTTTAAACCAGCATACTCCAAAGCTAAAAGAAACAGCCACTTGACTCTCGGTTTTTTCACTGCGCATTCGATTGGTTCATTACTATTTTGTAGCCATAGTGATTGCTTAGTGTTCTGAGAGTCATTGGAAGAAGTGAAAGACTTATTGAAGTGACATTGAACTAAAAAAAATTGCCATAACCTTGGTCTATTCCGTTAGTACACCTTGAACATTGTAGCCGTTTTGCAGAAGATGGCTTCATGAAAATTGTACCAAAATATATAGAGCTCACGTGGAGCCATTCTTCTTTCTCCTTAAATTTCTCCTTAAACACCAGATTTATTGGTACATGGTAACCTTTTTTGCAAAAACCATAGCTATAATGCATTGTAAATTATTTTCTCTCTCCTGCGTGCACCTATTGATCTTTTTGCCTGGTCGGAGTGTGCATACACAGACATTTGATTAGAGTTCTCAGTCCGTGGGGAGGGGTCTTGTTATACTTGAAATCCAAGGACCTCCCCAGGATCAGGCGATTTACAATTACTTGTTACTAGTCCCTAATCCATCACTTTGCTGTCACTTACCTTCCTTTTTCTCTTTCCGCTTTTTCCACTGCAGACAAAAATAAAATAAACAAACACAAACAATCAATTGACTATTAGAAAATAAAAGAGGCAAACAGACCACAAAGATGCCCTAAATGTGAATCTGCTGTGATATGCACTGCTGTAATATAATGGCAGGCATATCACTAATTAAACAACGCTAAATATCAAGTTCTCTGATATTTGCATATTGAGTCATAAACCTTCTTGACAGCATGCAAAAGAATGTTATTCATACTAGACTGGGAGCTCATCCCTAGGAGCGTGCAACTATCCCATAATCTCGGCACAGTGTTTCCACAGATCAACCTATTTTTAGTTTCAATTTATGAGAATTAAGAACCCCCGTTGGAACCTCAGTGACCAATCGCAAGTACAGTTTTAAGTTTTAACTGACACCATCATTTCACTAGAAGATTAACAAGAAAAACAAAATCTTTTTTCTTACTGATGCACGCTCATGTAAACTGGAACTAATCTATTTCACGGGAAAAGAAGCCTAAAAATAGGCCGGTCTGTAAAAATGCTGTGACAGGCTCAGTATGGGAGTTGCATGCTCCTAGTGATGGGCTCCTGACCAGACTCATGAGGTTGCCCAGGTAATTTATCCAGAGTCCAGTAACTGTATCTATTTACCAATGCGTGGTTAGCACTGAATTAATTCACAGGAAAAAGGTGTCACTGTCACTACTGAGGTTCCAGTTGGCAGTTTCAAAAAATTTAATAACATCATTGCTGCAGAAGAAGCAGTAGCTGAATAAGCCTCTTCTACAATGTAGGTGGTCAGTTAGTTGGGGTGCAGCATGGAAAATGCCGAGCAAAAAAAGGAGAGAGGGGTTTGGTGAAATGAGCTGCACTCTTCACTATTTGTTCTCTCACTGTTTATCCCACTGCACCACAACTAACTGGATAAGTGAGATAGGCTACAGCTGAAAGTGACTAATACACTTTTAACCAATCAGAATTTCCCAGACCAGGATTCAGCAACATGCGTATAAGCAATGTGGACCACAGTTTAAATGATGTAATAAAAATCTATAAACAATCCTAAATAGTTGGTGTAACAAGTGCCAGATGATGACATTTCCTGTTTTTGGTCTCCAAGTTGCTAGGCAACTGGTTGCACCCTGAAAGGGCGGGATCTTTTGAAATAATCTCCAGTGCACAACGTAACAAGTGCTGTACAGAAGGCTTGCCAAAATTGGCACTTGTTCTTGACTGATTGAAGCCATGCTGTATTGCTAGTGCTACAGGCTGTGTAACATATAAGGAGTAATTTTAATAGATTTTGTTTACTAGAATACACTACTGCTATAGGTAAAGAAAGAAAGATAGAGACACAAATTACCGTTTAATGACTTTTCCCTTGTTGCTGGTCGAGGAGCCTTTCTCAGCCTGTATTTGAAATTCATCTTCACCTCCAGTTAATGTTGCTGAACTTAATGGAGTTTTCTTACCTCCTTAAAAAAATACAGTGCATTTGATTGCATTTAAGGAAACACACATGTACACTGCTACACAAAAAATAAAGACATATAAAATAAGGGACAGAGAACAATACATACAGCTGTTTGTTGTCCTTAAGTGGGTAAAACTCACATGGGATAGGTAAAAGTGATGCACATGTACAAGGTACATGTAGTATTGATTAAATGGAGAGAGATTGTTGTTGTATTTATGTCCCATGGGACATGAAGAGGATTCAGTCAGTAAGTCCACATATATTTGTCCATCTGTCTGTCTGTATGTCCATCTGTTCGTTGGTCTCTTCGTTGGTCTGTTCATCCATCTGTCTGGCAGTCAGTGTGTCAAAGAGTCAGTACCCCAGCCATTTTTTCCCAAATATGAAGGTAAGGCTCAACTCACTTTTCTTATAGCTTTTTACAGCTTCCATCATCTCTCTCTTTTCTTTCTGCCTCTTTTGTAAGACCTCTTGCTGAACCTACAAGTAGTTAAAGAAGGTTCCACATTCTTAGATGCCCTCGATCTTCAACTAAATGTACCTCAAGACACTGACTGCTTTAAAGTGGGAAGTAAAATATGAGGCCTTACTACTTTAACTTAATTAAGGGTCATGCAAGAGAACACTTTCATCCGTTTTTAGCAACTTAGTTGTACTTACACATTGTACAACTTACTACAAATGTATGCCACTCTTTTACATACTACCTACATGTAGTACAAGCCTTAATGTATTGTGTAAGAAACCAAATGTTTGAATTCTCAGTCACTGGAACTCAACCCATTCACTCCATAAGATTACTTACAGTACATGAGATGTGCCTGCAGGGAATCATAGTAGTTATATTCATCAAAACAAATGCATGCATCCAGTCCAAGATGATGAATGCAACTACTGTACAATAATTCCCAGCAGGCGCATCTCACAAAGGGAATTGGCCATTGCAAATGTGAAATTTAACTGTTTTCAGAGCACTGCTTGAAGTACCTTTTTGCCATATTTCTTCATCTCTCGCTGTTTCTTTGCCTTCTCTGATCTCTCCATAGCTTGCTGCTTACTCAGCAACTTTGCCCTTACCTGATATTAAATGGGATCACGGTAGAAAGAATTATTATTAGATTGTGTATGATGACAACAACAATAACAACACAACCAACAAACCATTTATTTGCCTAAAAATATAGTAATAGAATAAGCAAAACAGTAAATATTGTTTTAAAGTGGTACTAATATCAAATTTTTACCCTTGATTTTTTAGGTGTATCGCATAGAATTTCAGGAAAGAATAAAATGCTGTTTACCATTTGGCAATATCTGCATTAGTTCCTGAGATAATTAAGTTTGAAAAATGTATAAACTATGCAAATGAGATGAGTGATAACATCATACATTCAACCCAATATTACATCACGTCTATGAATAGAGCGGTTGGATTTGGGGATGTTGGCGGCTCGTCGTATTTGTTTGGTGACGAAATTACGGTTGTAACCTCGTTTAAGGAGGTAAGTGGTAAGTTGACTCCCGCAGACTCTCGTTACAGACCAAAGATGTCAACAAACCTAAACGTATACCATTTATAACTACCTTCAATCCATCACTCCCTCACATCTCTAACATCATTGAAAAACATTACAATTTGTTGCTCTCTTCTAACGGTTGCAAAAACGTTTTTCAGCATTTGCCTGTTGTAGCCTTCAGACACTCCCCTAACCTTCGTGACTTACTAGTTACAGCTAAACTCTCTTCTAATTCTTCTAATCTCCAACTACCTTCTGGTTCTTTCTGTTGTGGCAAAAACTGTGCTACTTGTCGCTACATTTCTCACGGACTTACTACATATACCTTCTTTTCTACCGGGGAAACGTGCGCCATAAAATCCAACCTGACCTGTGACACTAAAAACATGATTCAATGTAACCGCTGTAATTTACAATACATAGGAGAGACGAAACGATGATTAAAAGACCGATTTAATGAACACCGCCGTACCATAGATAACCCTAACAACAAATCTAAACCTACTACAGCCGCCAAATATTTCCTGTCCTCTCCTAACCACACTGCTAACGACATGCAATTAATCCCCATCAAAAAAATTGTTTCTAACCGAGACTCTATCCGTAAGGCCAGGGAAGCTTTTTTAATTCAAAAAGGCAGAACAATTGATCCTAATGTTCTGAACATCCGCAAAGAAACATATTAATTGTTTCCATTTGTTTTCTTTTATTATGTTCTTTTATCATGTTATTTTATTTTAACGTATGCTTATCTTCAATTTACACTATCAATTACTTTTGCGTATTTCCGGTATTACGTAAATATCGGCTACATAAAAACATGCACCAATGTAAAATCTTCCATTGTACCTGAAGAAGGCTGGTTTGGCCAGCCGAAATATAGTACACCTTCAAAAAATCATTCT